AAAAAAATTAGTTGGATGAAGAATCTGACAGAAGAATGGGTAGCTTAGGGAATGATGCCATGGAGATACCTATAACCCAGGCCAGTAGACTCCTCTCCTTCACACCCTCACTTCATAAATTCCCTGAAAGTTAGATATAATGTAACACATGAACCACGCTGTGGCAGAAATACTGAAACAAGTGTATGTCTCAATTAAGATCAGGTAGTTCCACACTCCATGGCGGTGAAGAGACTCCCCGCCTGTGAAACTGATGTCTGAGGGTGCCTCATGCCTGTGGGATCCTTCAAGTAGTATAGATAATAAATATTATAGAGTTTAAGCTGTTTCACCTAAACTGTCTATAAACCCAGTCTACCCAACTCTCTTGGATTTTCCATGTACACACTTTGGATCACACACAAGTGATCTCTAATTATTTAGGTTCACTCCTGGCTCGTATTTTGGCACAATTTGCAATCAGGTTGGCAACAGTGGCATCTCTCTCACCCTTACCTGGAATGCCAGGGGGTCCGGGAGGTCCAGGTGGCCCTTGGTAGCCTCGGAAGCTGTAATCTCCATGGCAACACTTGCTGCAGTCTGGAGGTAGTCCTCCCGTTGGTGGAGACTTCAAAAAGATACAAAGAGAAGCTTCAGAGAAAGGTACTTGTAAGTAATTAGGACTTTTGAATTTCCTCTGGCCTTGTTCCCTAGGTAAGTCTAACTCTAAACAACCCACAATAACACCAGAAAATATGGTGTGGGGTGGGGATGTCAGTGGCAAAGGAGCCAGGGGGTAGCTAAGGTGAACCAAAGATCGAAAAGGAAAAGGAAACAGGAGCATCAATAGAACATCAATGGAAAGGAGTGTGAGTGGGGGTGGGGGACTGGGGCAGTATTCCTGAGAAGAACTTTTCTGTTGCTACTGATGACAGCAAAAGAAGAAACTCCAGAAGTGGATTTGAAACATTGTCTTCCTTTCCCAACTGCCAGTTGCCTCAGCCGTTGCTAGACTGAATAGAACGACCCTCAAATGATAAGAATTATCAACTTCAAACATCGTTATTAAGACTATCAACATTCATGATATTGGGTTAAGAATTTTTAGAAATTCTGGATTGTAACACTGGCTTTTCAAACAGCCACAACATACTTAAATTACCTTAGGAAATTAAGGAAATGAAGTAAGTATTCATTAGTCCAATACATTTTTTATTAATTACCTCATTTTAAGCTTGGTTCATCTGAGAAGCCACTCAAAAGTATTTTAAACAATTAAACTTTAGTTGATAAATAGTGACGTCAATGGCAGTAAGTCAGAGAAGTTGTTTCTATCTTGAAACAACTTAAACTTCCTATACTGGTGTAGTAATTAATTATCCCTGGTTGTTTGCAGAATGTGAAAGAATTCACCAGACTCTACAAAATGAGAGAGCAAGAAAAGCTTTATTGAAAGAGAGAGAGAGAGAGAGAGAGAGAGAGAGAGAGAGAGAGAGAGAAAGAGAGAGAGAGAGGGAGAGAAGAAGAAAGAATATAAAATTCACATATTCTCTATCACTAGAAATCCAAACAGAAAAATGGATCAAGGCTTCACATTGCTGTGCATTTAGGCTTTACTTTTTTCTTTTTAATAAATAATGGGCTTGGGTTTTTCCTTCACTCTCTCATTCCTTTTTCCTAAAGGTTTCCACTAAGCTATTTTGGGAAAATGCAGAACAGTATCTGTGGTCCAGGCCTTCTCCTGCAACAGCTCAGAGCCCAAGTCTTGAGTGATGAGGAGCTGCACTTTGGAGATCACTCTTAATCTAGTCTTTAGGCCCCCCCAGACCCAAGCATGTACAGGCATGAAAACCTTTTATGAAACTGGTGGAGGAAAAGAAAATCAGTGAAAGGAATTGGTCTGAGACAAAGGCTTTCAGACGCTTGGAAAGTCAGATACCACAGCACCGCCCCATCTTCTAATCCAAAGATGCAATCTGAGAAGTAAGTATTCCACAATTTCCTGGTATGACTTTGTTAATGTGAAATACAGCCTTCTAAGTTCCAAGAAATCCGGGGCTCTGCCAATAATGGGTTTTAGAGATGAAGGGAGGGGAAGGAGGGAAAATCCTGAAATGGAACCATTTGTTTTAAGAATAGAACTGAAATACTGAGACATTAAGAATGTGGGAAAGATGACTGAGCTGGAACTTGAACTCCCGTTTCAGTTCTGTGTGACTTCAGCTCGGTGTGACTTTCCCCCAGACATCATTTTTCTTGGCTACTAAATGAGAAGATTGGGTGAGATGGTCATGAGTTTTCTTTCCAGCTCTATGATGCAAACAAAGATACTAGTCTTTCCCAAAGCCTCAGATAATAACTTACAAAGATTTTTTTTAAAGTTTAGTATCTAGGCATGAGATACTAGATAACTGCAGGAGAATGGGGCTGCTCAATACCAGAGCTAACTGGTATAGGGCTGGGGTGCATGCCCAAGTTTCTTGGG